AATTTTTAATGTTTGTTATGTACTTTGGAAGTTGGATGTATGTTGAAAATATTTTTCATTTCATGCATAGCTGGAGAAGATCGTCAAGAGAGAACTTCATTTCATTGTAATTCTTTTGTTATAAAATGATGTAGTTGCTGATTATTTTTGTTCAGCCATATTTTCTCTTGAGGCTTATTTGTCCTGTATATTTCAGTATATTTCTTGTGACTTAACTGAGAATTTTTTTTTTAGCACACAAAATCTGAACAGCTATCCAGCTTCTTCAGGTATTCTCTAAACTGTGGGTAGCTCTGTGGTCAAACTTGAAAATGCCTTGGGGAACATACTCTTCTTTTAACTATAAATATTGTACAAATTTACCGAAAGAGGAACTATGGCTTCTATAATTTTTTTTTCTTTAGACCAACCTCAAGTTCTTGCAGCAAAATTTCTTTACTTGATGTGCTACAAGTGAACTAGGGTCTTTAAAATGTATTTTAGAATTTTTTTTCCAACATGCTTCTTCCCTTGCAACAGGTACCGTTTTGCAGAGATTCGCTACCATCGCCCTGAGGAGACCCACAAGGGGCGTACAGTTCCAGCTCATGTGGAGACAGTGGTTTTATTTTTCCCGGATGTTTGGCATTGCCTTCCCACCCGCTCAGAGTGGGAAACCCTCTCCCGAGGATACAAGCAGCAGCTGGTCGAGAAGCTTCAGGGTGAACGCAAGGAGGCTGATGGAGAACAGGCACTGAACGCTAATCCCTTTTTCTATTTTCGCTTCTCACAGGCACAGGAACACAGGCACAAATGCACACCACACACTACATAACAGACACACACGGAGGAACATAACTGGTAACAGCGACTGGTAATCCAGCTTTCAGCAGTATAGTTGTATGTTCTTTTCTCTTTAAAAAAAAAAAGAATCTGTTTATCATGCTGACTTTAAGAGTGCTGAGACAAAGGAAAATAAGTTGTGCTTAAATTGCACAGAATTTTGTTTTTTATCATAGGTCTAGTTGCTGGAATCTGGGACCAGTTGTTGAGCAAGATTCAGTATTAAGCCATTTTAAACATTTTGCCATTTATTAAAATTTAAAAAATTTTCTCTTTCACGGTCATCAGTTCTAGTCATGGATATTTGAAATTGAACAACCACAAGTCTGAGAGATTTGAAATTTCAGGCTATGTGGCATCGTCTTTGGTATATTTGAAAGGTCTGACTAAATCAGTCTTAACTTTGGGTGGCTTGAAAATTGGGGCAAGATCACACACTGTGTGGTTAGTGGAGACCGGCAGTGTTTGTGCATCCCTGATATCCTTTGTGTTGTAATTTATCACCCTTTTGTGTTTCACAGATCTGGCTTTGATTGGCTGATGAATGTCTTTGTGGTCAATTAAAAGTGGTAGAATGTATGTACGTGGACTTGCCTAAATAACTTTAGGAGAAGATAATCTGAAACATTTGTGACCTTGCACAGATCAGCAACAGACTTTTAAAAATAAATTACCTGTATTTTAAGGTTTCAGAATAGTAATTAGGTTCTTAACTTTGTATATCAGGATGAAGAAGAGAAAGATGATGGTGAAGCTAAAGAAATTTCTACTCCTACACATTGGTCTAAACTTGATCCAAAGACAATGAAGGTAACTTTGAAAGAGATAGTATTTAGTTTGACATCTCTAAACAGGAACAGAGAGAATAGGGACACTGTGTTGTTTGTTTTCAGATGAAAGCCATTAAAAATGAAGTCCACACATTTTTTGTATTCTATATTATGTTTGTATGTATGCATATAAAAACTGAGTAAAAGGAGACTTTGTAAATCAGTTCAGCCAATGTCTGTTGAATATAATATATAAGGGCCTATGGTGTGAGCAATATTGTTTCCTAATTTGGGAACTGATATAGAATTTCTGCACTCAATTAACTTAAATTCAAGGAGTAGAAAAGAAGAAACATAGAAGAAATCCACTTTTTAAAATAAAATTTAATAGTAAAAAGGGGCTTGATACAGGGTGGGGTAAAAATAGGTTTGTAGTTGTTCATATGGAAAATATGATAATATAATTAGCCCTTGGCCTGGTAGGTCAGTTGATTAGAGCATTGTTTTTGTATGCCAAGGCATAAGTGAACCAGTATAGATGGGTGAAGCAACAAGTCAATATTTCTCTCTCCTGTCCCCTCTCTCTTTCTAAAATCTAAGTTTTTAAAAATATTTTTAAAAGAGAGCTTCTGGTCAAGATGGAGGCATAGGTAGACATACTTCACCTTGTTACACAACTAACTTAAAGGGCACAACTAACTTAAAAGTGAAAAATACCCAAACTGCCAGAATATCACCCAGAACTGTACAAAAGTCTGACAACCAAAGATTTAAAGACGTTACATTCATCCAGACGGGTAGGAGTGGTGGAAAGGACGCTGTGTGGTGGTGACAAGAGGAACGGGCAGTCCCATGTTCATGTGTGGTGGTTTAAAAATCAGGGATGCCTTCTGAGCAAGCAGTCCCAGCCCCAGGCCAGACCACTCAGCCCAGGGTTCCAGCGCCAGGAAAAATAAAGCCTTGTAACTTCTGACTGTAAACTCAGTGGGGGTTGGGACAGCAGAAGAAACTGCGTTTCTTAGGAGAGCCTGGAACATACACAAACCTACCCATCCTGAGAACCACAATCAAGACAGCAGCTGGAGGGGTGCCAGTCACATATGGGAAGTGGGTTAAGTGACTGGAAAAGGGGGTCAGTGTCAAGAAAGCCCCCCAGAAGTCAGTCAGAAGCAGCATTGGCCCTCAAAGACCCCTCCCCACAACATGGAGCCGCAAAGCAGTTTGCCCCTTCCCTGGCAAATACCCAAGGGTCCACCCTATACAACGTAACGTGCTAAGACAGGAAATCAAAGAGGTTCTACCTAGTACACAGACCCAGGGAGGCTGCCAAATAAGGAGACAAAGGAAAGATGGCCCAAGTGAAGGAACAGAACTGAACCCCAGAAACAGAACTAAGGGATGAGGAGATAGCCAACCTATCAGATGTGGAAAACACAGGTGGTCAGAATACTCAAAGATCTCATTGAATATGACAAAAGCATAAGGGAAGAAGTGAAGTCAATACTAAGGGAAATAAAGATTAGAGGCTGATCATTACTTGTTTTGTATCTTGTTACTTAACACATAAAAGTTGATTAACTTCTGTTCTTAGCAAAAAAACAAACAAAATAACCCCAAAGCAGTTTTTCTTCTTAATTATGAAACTAGCTTTTTAACCCAGATAGAGTCCTATAGATTCAGAAAATATAGCCAAATTGATTAAACTCTACATCCCAGGACTTTCTGTCAAATTAATGGCTTTACTATTGTATTTCTTATTTTAAAACTTATATTTATTTTGATTATAAATGTAATGCATGTTATTTTCAAAATTGGTGTATATGTAAAAAATAGAAGAAAAACATTATTTGAGCCTATTACTCAAACACAATCACTCAAACTTGTGATGTGTTTTCCATTCTTTTTTCTGGGGGTAAGCTTTGTGACTGGTTGGTTGCATCTAATCTTGTATAAAACGTTGCTGTCTCATCCTTTTCAATAAATATTGGTATTTCCCCTTGTAGTTATTTTTAACCATCTAGTTGATGTACTGTTTTTTCTTGGGTATTACTCTTTTATTCAATATTTAGATTTCTTTACTTTTTTTATTTTTAGAGAGGAGACTACTAAAAGGAGTGTGTAAAGATTTTCTGTTTTCCCATGTTTAGGTTCTTTCCCGAGGGTAAAATCGCAGAAATTAGAATTACTGGGTTAGAGCATTAACTGTTTTTAAGCAGCTTAAAACCTATTGTAAATTATTTTTTTAATGTTCTAAGAAGTTTGTATTTCTGTAAACATTTTATGAGCTAAGTATCCCTTTCACTAAAGTTTCTTTTTTAAAGCACAGAAGATAAATGCATAGTTTATTCTCTATTTCAGTATCCCATTTTCTTTCTTTGTGTTTTTGTGATCTGTATAATTTAGGTAAATGATCTTCGAAAAGAATTAGAAAGTCGAACCCTTAGCTCCAAAGGGTTAAAGTCCCAGTTAATAGCCCGGTTGACCAAACAGCTTAAAGTAGAAGAGCAAAAAGAAGAACAAAAGGAATTAGAGAAATCTGAAAAAGAAGATGAAGAGGAGGATGATAGGAAATCTGAAGATGATAAAGAGGTATATATGAAATTATTTAAATATACTCCTTACCTTACTCTACTTTGATCTGACTCCCTACCGTGTGATGTTTCTCTGTGCAGGTGCCCTCCTGGTGTCTTTCGGGTTTTATTGCCTGGTAATTGGGGAGCTCCTGGTAATTGGGGGGCTCATCTGCCTTGGGTCGTGATAGCTGTCCCTTTCTGCTTTACTTGAAGGAATTGCTTTAGAACTGAACTGTTCAGGACAGGAAGAGTTCATTTGAAAATGGTGAAACTGTAATTCTTACCATTTTATTGTCACATATTTCCCTTATCTGTTTGGTTACCCAGTGGTACAGTTCTTATATTTATAGATATCAGTTCTCAGTATCCCTGGAGGATTGGTTCCAAGACCCCATGGATACCAAAATCCATGGATGCTCAAGTCCCTTATATAAAATGGCTTAGTACTTGCATATAACCTGTATTGCAAATAGGCTACAGCAGAGTACACTTGCACATCACTTCATTTGAGTGAATTCATTGTAGTGCTTGGTGTATGGAAAATTTCAGTTTTGCTTTTTAGAAGCTTGGGATTTTTTTCTCTGATTTTCTTATTTTAATTTATTGATTGAGGGGTGGGGTGGTAGAGAGAAACATCAGTTAGTTGTTCTGTTTTTTTATGCATTCATTGGTTGCTTCTTGTATGTGCCCTTACCAGAGAGCAAACTCACAATTTTGGAATAACAGGATTATGCTCTAACCTACTGAGTTGCCTGGGCTGGGCTCCTTAAATATTTTTGATTCACAGTCCTTTGAATCTGGAGATGAGAAACCTGTGGGTACAAAGGGCCTACTATAGAAGGCAGAGTCAGTGTTTGATTTTTTTTTCGCTCCTTGTTCAGGGACCATGCTAATCTCTGTATCATTCTAATTTTAGTGTATGTGCTGCTAAATGAAGTAAGCAACATTTATCTGGTTTTCAAGATAATGAAATTAGGTTCCCTGGCATCTTCAGTGGTTACATGTTTGTTTTTCTAATACCTTTATTTGAAAGGATTTCAGGTCTTTGCATTTCTTTTTTTTAGTGAAACTCAAATTATCCCCCTTTTCACCAGTGGTTGGGCAAAGTGGGGGGGGGGCAATTTGAAGTTAGTTTAAAAATATTTTTGTATTAGAGAGGGGAAGGGAGGGAGAAAGAGAGGGAGAGAAACATCAATGTGTGACTGCCTCTCACACGCCCCGTACTGAGAACTTGGCCCCTGCAACCCAGGCATGTGCTCTGACTGGGAATCAAACCAGTGACCCTGTGGTTCCCTATCTGGTGCTCAGTCCACTGAGCCACACCAGCCAGGGCTTCCGTATTGTGTTTATTTTGTGCTATAACTACATTGTCCAAGCATGTAGTAATGCATACTAAACCATCTTTTAATCCTCTTATCTCGGTCATACAAGCTAAATATCTGATGCTCGGCACTAGTTCTTTTGTCATTCTCTCTGAAGCTCATCTCCAGTAGATTGCTCAGAGCTCATGGTAGCCATATTTAAGTTTCTGTATGTTGACAACAGTTGGACTATACCCTTTATGCTTGAAAATCAGTTTTGCAAATATAAAATCTTTGGTTCACATTTATTTTTCTTGACTATCTTAAATATGTTACATCTTTCCTGAGCAAGTTTTGCTGTCCAAAAGTGATGATAATGCAGTTTACTTTCTGATACTGTCACTTGCTATTTTGCCCAGATGTACAAAATTTTATTAGAAATGTGTTTTAATATTGGCCATTTTGGATTAACAACTTCAGGTGCATTGTGTGGTCTTTCAATACGTAATTTCTGATTTTTTCAGGAAGTTTCTCTTGAACAAACTTTTCTTTTTGTATTAAAATATACATGAATCAAAATTACCGTTATACCATATAGTAATAACTTTCCAACCCTTCTCCCCCATCCGCTGGTAACCTCTATCCTGATACTCTGTCTCTGAATTTGATACTTCATGTAAGTGGAATTGTATAGTAGGTATCTTTTTGTGCCTGGCTTCTCTCACTTAATGTAATGTTATCAGGATTCAGCCATGTTGTAGCATGTATCAGAACTTCATTTCTTTTTAAGGATGAATATTCCATTGTATGTATACACCACATTTGCTTATTTATTCATCTGTTGATAGACATTGGTTGTTTTCACCTCTCGGCTATTGTAAATAATACCGCTGTGAAAAAGCAAGTTCCCTTTTCTATTCTCTTAAGTCATTATTTCTTGAGTTTATTTGCTTTTGTATCCCTTCTAGTTTTAATCTTAAATTTCTGAAACTCTTGAATGCTGTCACCTTGTTTTTCACTTTTTAAATTCTTGTTCTTTCCATTTCTTGTTTCTTTTTTTTTTTTTTAAGGTTTTATTTATTTATCTTTAGAGGGGAAGGGAAGGAGAGAGGGAGAGAAACATCAATGTACGGTTGCCTTTCGTGCATCCCCTGCTGGGAACTGGCCTGCAGGGAACCAGCCTGCAACCCAGGCATGTGCCCTGACTGGGAATCGAACCGGGATTGTCTGGTTCGCAGGCCCGCGCTCAATCCACTGAGCTACACCAGCCAGGGCTAGCATTTCTTGTTTCTTAATGTTGATCTCAATACTTTCCTATTGCTCATATCTATGTGAATTTAGTTTGCTTAAAATTTTATCATAAGGGGTTTGCTTCAGATAGCTTGTATAACTTCAAAGAGCTCTATGTTCTGTTGTTTTCTTGTTCTGTCAAAAAATAATGGAATGTCAAAAAAATATGGTGGCTTTCTGAAATTTCTCTATTACCCTCTCTCACTTTTATGTGGACTTCCTTTTTCCATGTCTCCATGTCCCTCTTCTGCTCATTATTGATTCTGATGCCAGTCATTGTGGAACCCTGTGCTAGAAGGATGCCCTGGTAAATCGGCTTTGCAAATTCATAGGGCTAGAATGATGTAGACCACCTCAGATTTCAAGATGAACTCCTCGTTGTCACTGTTGTTAGAAGTCTTGCCTAGTTTCAGCTGCTGTCCTAATTGACCTGCTGCACTTTCCAGTAAATGCCCATTGACCGTGTTTCTTTCCTTTTGACTGTTTTGTGGTTTTCCTGTCCTTAGATCCATGGGACAACTCCATTACTTCCTTCTGCTTTCCCACACACAGACACTGGTACCACATAGATCTTTCGGTTCTTAACGGCTTTTTCCCACCCACTTGTACATTGGGGTGTATGGAGATACCTTATTACCTTGGTTTCCTGTCAGTGTGCATGGATTTTGGTTTGAGTATCTAGATTATTCTGTCTCTTTTTAATGTGGAGATTCAGGAAGATCCAGGAACTCTGCTAACACCAGTATTTTTCCTGATTCTCCTGATGTATGTAATGTTAATACAGGTATTCCCCCAACCTCCCTTTAGAAGCAGTTTCTTATTCTGGGATATCCAAAGAGAATTCAAATAAACCTATCCTCTTTAGTGAATTTGAATTTTTCTTCCCTTTTCAGCCCTAATTGTTGGTAATGGAATCAGGAAACTTTTTTCTTTACATGGTATACATTTGATTACAGTTGACCTTTGAGCAAAGATAGGCTGGGGGTGCCAACCCCTGCTTAGTCAAAAATCTGCATATAGCCTTGGCTGGTGTGGCTCTGGCCTGTGAACCAAAGGGTCACGGGGTCATTTCCCAGTCAGGGCACATGCCTGGGTTACAGACTAGGCCCCCAGTGGGGGGCATGCAAGAGGCAACCACCCTGTGATGTTTCTCTTCCTCTCTCCCTTCATTTTCCTGTGTCTAAAAATAATAAATAAAATCTTTTTAAAAAATATGTGCACAACTTTTTTTAAAGCACCGTCTACTAAATGAAAAGATTTAACGTAACCCCCCCCCCAAAAAAAAACCACTTTATGTATGTATGTATGTATTTATAGGCGGGAGGGAGGGCAGGCGGGCAGTATTAATGTATGGTTGTCCCTTGCACACCTTCGAATGGGGACCTAGTCTGTGACCCAGGCATGTGCCCTGATTGGGAATTGAACTAGTGACCCTTTGGTTTCCAATCTGGTGTTCAGTCCACTGAGCCACACCAGCCAGGGTGTGTACAACTTTTGACTCTCCAAAAACTTGCTACTTTCACTATCTGGAGGGGATTGCTTAGTTTCAGGAACCGCTGTGGACACTAAAAACCATGGATACTCAAGTCTCCTACTAAATAAAATCAGTGCATACAGTTGACCCTCCATATTTGCAGACTCCTAGCCCCACAGATCAAAAACATTACAGGTATTTATTTAAAAAATTATATATGGGTGGATCTGCACAGTTCAAACCATGTTGTTCAAAGGTCAACTGTACGTACATATTGTACATGGAAATTTAACTTTTACTTAAAATTTCAAATATGTAGGAAGAAGAAAGAAAACGTCAAGAGGAAATGGAACGTCAGCGTCGTGAAAGAAGATATATTTTGCCTGACGAACCAGCCATTATTGTACATCCAAATTGGGCTGCAAAAAGTGGAAAGTTTGATTGTAGCATTATGTCTTTGAGTGTACTTTTGGACTACAGATTAGAAGATAATAAAGAACATTCATTTGAGGTACTGCTTAAATTTAAATTGCAATCCATATAAGGCCCATGCAATTTGGGTAATTCGAGGGCCTTGTTTCACTGCTTCTGTTTTTTAAATTTTTCCTTGTAGTTTATTATTTGGGGAGGAAAACATGATTTTTTGACAGACTCACTTTTGCTAATTGCATTCCTATGGTATGGTTTAAATGCTCCTCTGGACTCTATATTTCCTATTAATTGATAGTTGGATCATAGTCTTAGGTTCAGGTTTAATTTTTTCTTCCTAATACTGCTTCATAGGTAGCAGTGTATTCTTTCACCAGGATATCAGGAGATATGGGATACATAAGTCTAATTGCCTGTCTTAGAAATGAGGTAATGCTTTATTAATTACTGTAGAATTAAAATACCAACTAATGGGATTGAAAATTTAACTTATGATTAATATGTAAGATAAAGTAATTGATGTTGATCTTTCAACATGAATTTGTTTCTTTGTACCATTATTTTAGAGCTGCTGTACAACATACAGCTTAAAGTAATCTTTAAAAACAGTTGAAGATTTTTAGCCCTAAATAAGTGATTGCTTTATTTTTAATAAAACAATGTAAAGTATCCCAAAATATTAATTATATAATATCTGGTACAAAATTATAATCGTGTTCAATTATTGTATTTTACCAACATCTCACATTGTTTTGGTTTATAAATTATATTGGAAAATCAGTCATACTTATTTGACTCAGGAGGTCATTGTCCACCAAAGAGTAAGATGAAAATGAAGTAAAGTGCTTAGACTAGAGATATTTATACACATATACCAGGGGGAGGGCAAAATAAAATGGAATTTGTTTATAAAACATTATGTATGTATTACATGTTTAAACGTTATCAAAGTACTCTATTTGATGCAGTACATGTATCAGGACGTTTTCTCCGCAGCTCAAAACAATTTTTGAACTCATTGATTTTGATGCCTTTTAGTGCTTCTGCCATTTTTTTGTTTGTTTCACCTCTTCCATACTGGCAAAATGCTTCCCTTCGAGGACTTTTTTCATCCAAGCAAACAAAAAAAAAATGTTGTTTGGAGTTAGATACAGTGAATAGGGAGGATGGAGGCACTGGGATCATAGTGTTTCTGGTCAAAAACTGCTTAACACTCAGCATGGTGTGGGCAGGTGTGCTTGTAAGTTACCCATCATGAAATGGGCCAATGTGTTGAAACAGTCTTCAAAAACAATTCACTGAAGGGAAATGCAGCCTCTCACAACAACACCAGCTGGAACACTGATACTGATGTCAGTTTTCCTGAATACTCACCTAGCAGGGGAAGCCTGTGCTACAAGGGGCCCAACCTTCAGAAGATACTTCTAATATGGGTTTTTTTTTTTTTTTT